TAACCAAATGCCTCTTCTGTCATCACATAACTAGAGGATGACTAGAAATATGGCTACTGATTATTTTATGGTTACTAATACTGATTATTTTATGATTACTAATAATGACCTGGAACATGTATCTGGCTTCTTTATGATTTTAAAGAGTGCTTCAATTTACAATGTAAATATAATGCAAAACTGGACCCTTACCTTATGTCCACCAGGTTAGCTGAACTGAATTTTTTCTTATATATATATATATATATATATATATATATATATATATATATTATATACCCTTCAATGATGTTTATTAAATATAGTTTGATATTATACCCATATTAATACAATCAAAATCAAAAGTATGCTGGATAAATTTATATTAAATGTGGGTACTTGAAATCTTTTGTGATAGTGATGATTTTCAGATAAGATTTTTTTTTATGTCATATGTCTTCAGGTTAGACAATCATGGTTCTCTGAGAATTGTCATTAATCTTTGGTAAAGATATTGGAGTTGTTTCCTGTGGCTTTCCCCTCAATTCAGAATTCAGACTTTTCCTTCTCTGACGTTGGTTGTCACTCAAGTCTAAATGGACACATCTACTATTTAACCCAAATAAGATATGATTCAATATATACATAGTTCAAAACCACTTATTGAAAATATAGGCCTCATCCGTCCATAGAAACTAGCTGAAAATCTCATCCTACATAGGACAGGTTTTCAGCTAAATACAAATTTGCTTTAGAAGATTCACTCAGGTTTCATTAAAAAAAAAAACTTTTAAAATCAATAATTTGTCTGTTGAAATAATCTTTTCTAAAATTCTATGAGTTCTTAAATGAATTTCAAAAATGAATTTATTAAATTCTCTATTTTCTCTTTTTCATTTCAACAGCTTGTACATTCCAAGCTCCTAAGAACTGTTAGTTTCTAATCAACAATTTTCTCACTGTTCAGACTGAGAAACACTTTTGGAAATGGTTTATCAAAATTTGTCCCAATTAAAAATTGACAATTTTTTATATGCTTCCATTTTCAACCCTTCTTTATTTTTCTTTTTTTACTACATTCTATTTTTGCACATTCCCAATTACTGCAATTGATATTTACCAAGCTTATCCAATGGAACAAGTTCAAATAGAAAAAATAGAGCATAAAAGATTGTTACATTACTTCCAATTTAGAGAAGGCCTGCTTGTCTAGAAAATCAATTTTGGCTTTTACTTGGGCTCAAATAAATATCACTAATTTTAGTGGAAATGAGTAACTATTTCAACCACAAGGCAGGCTAACCATTTGTTGTAATAGTATGAAACCTATGTGATTTGGTATAATGTGGTATCTCTTGATTAATGATAATTTCTGTTGTTTCTTTCTATTTTAAAGAATAAACCCCAATTTTTCTCATTGGATTACACTGGCCAACAAAAGAAACTTTATCTGCTACCCATAGAAATGATGCTCTACTAGACTAAAGTATACATTTTCTAAATCTGTACTTAGAGTTGTCCAAGTACATCAGGTTTTTGAGATAAAAAAATATAAGACAATGTCTCCTCAGTCATGTGCATGTTAAAACATATATGCTAGAACAATTCTAATCATGGATTTGGAATCAGTATATACACTTAGGCTAAAACACATTTTATCCCAGTAGCAAATTCTAAATTCTTTTTTTTTACTCCAGTAGCAAATTCTTTTTTACCCAGTATGACCAGTGTTTGTTTACATCTCAGAGAAGTGTAGGTTTTATGATGTTTCACATGAAATAATTTTCTTCTTCTATGTATCATGTACCTTCAGGACATTGGTGATCATGGCTCTCCACAACTTCCACTCTTTTGTAGCTTTTAATAAATTTTGTCTTTTAACTATCTCTCCCAAATCCTGCCCAACCATCCATTTAATCAAACTAAACAAGGTTATATGTTGTTTTCCTCTGTCCCTCTTGCCTTCAATCTTTCCTGTGAGTATCAAATTTTCTAAGCCCTCTTTCCTCATTATGTGCCCTAGAAATTTGAAATGATCTTTTTGTTACCATTGTTTCTAGAAAAGAATTTTAATTTGATTCATTTTCTTAAGGGACACTTGTTAGAATTTTTTTCCCTTTTTTTTTTTATTTGGTATTTAAGTTACTTGACATTTTTTAAATTTTCTTTTTTAAAGAAAATGGACCAAGTTCTGTCAATGCAAACAAAAACACATGACAAAACTTCAGAAGAGAAAGATGTGGTTGATTACTCCTGCTATATGCTTGTTAGCATCTCAGGCATTATGCTACTAAAATAAATTCTTTAATTATTCTAATCTTGTATCACATTGCATTCTCTTTTTGTATTTTCTAGTTTAATGGATCTCGTGTGAGTGAGAAAAAATGGTTCAAATATTGTGAATGATTTTCTTGTACTATTCAACTGGAACAATGCACAGCTATTTTCATAAAATGTTAATTAGATACCATGGTTACCAAGCATTAATTAACAACTTATTTTCTCTCACTTTCATTGTACCTGATGCAGTGCAGTTCATATCTCTACTTTCACTCGACTTCCATTAATGAGAATTACTCTACAAAAACTCTTTACTACCTTGTTTTTATTTTTTTATGCAAGTGATATAGACTTGTATCTTTTATAATAAAAACTGGTTTGTGTTTGGACAGGGAAGGAAGGTATTTTTATTTTTTCTATCTTTTTTTTTTTTTCTTTACCACATCAAGCTGAATCAATTATTTATCATCTTTCTATATCAAAGCTTTTGTCAGATAATATCCAGTTTTCTTTATGGTTCAGAACTGAACAAGATAATGTTTATACTGTACTACAAACTCATTTGTCTTAATTGGTTTTTGCTTGACTCAGTAAGGATTTACCAAACCAAGGAAAACCAAACCAAAGTTAATATTCAGTCTAATTTAATTTAATTCTTTCTCAATAGGCTTTATTTGAAGCACACAGTAATATTTAGGATGATTTTTTTTATTTTAAATATGAGATTTTACCTCTATTTTGTCATAATATTTTATGCTTTATTATATATGCATTCTCAGTATCATACCACTTGTTGAAATTCCTTTTATAAAGGAAGGGGGGCCTAAAGAATCTGATACTCACAGGTCGAATAGAGAGAAAGAGAGACAAGGGAAAGCAATGCATGACATACTTAGCAGGCTTAAGCAAGTGGATGACAGAGTGTGGTCTGGGGGAGGAAGCAGAGGGAAGGAACCTGTTGAGAGCTGCAAGGGTGGGGGTGGAGTGTCAGGATCGCCTACGTCATGAAAGGACATGGCACACAAAAAGAAAAGATACTTACACTTACAGCATTGAAATTTGTAATTGGTTCTATATTTTGTCTTCCCATACTTAAATCTTTTTTTCTAAGTGTGTATTTTACTTGTTCCAAAACTTTATGAATATTTACCTTAACACATTAACTGCCACAAGATAACATGATTAGCAGTTTTTGGTATGATGCCAACACAAGTTTTTTCTCATTTTTGTGGTCTTGCCATCAGGGCTACAACCATGAGCTATTTTCATCGTTTTTAACACAAATAACTGGTACTAGTCATCTATGGTAAGAATGAAAAATTGTACTAACAACTAAAGACAAAATTTTATGGGAAAATTATTGAAAACATAAACAAATAATTTTAAAAAAATGTTATTACCTAAGTTAGCTATTATAAAGTTGCTATTTGAAGTCCGGATTCATAACTGACCTCTGGCAGTCAATGTGTCAAATATATTGCACCTTTTCAGACTAATGGTTTCTTCTGATATAAAGTGGAAAGATTATATTGAATTAAATGCTAAGTCTGCTGCTAGGAAAGTTGGTTCACTGTGTTGTCGGAGACAATTTTTCTCACCAAAATCTATCTTACACATTTATAAGTCAACCATTCATCCTTGCTTTGAATATTGCTGCCACATCTAGTCTTATGCTCCTGCTACATATTTAGAGATTCTTGATAAAATCCAAAAATGAATTTACAATGTTATTGGTCCTGATCTGGCATCTTGCCTTCAGTCATTTTCCTACCACCATAATGTAGCTTCCCTATGCCTTTTCTATAAATATTTTCATGGTAAGTGTTCTGATGAACTTTCCTCTATATTACCTAGTTTTAATGAATCTAAGTACAGTACTAGATTGGCAGCTTGGTCACATTGTTTATAGCTAAAATGGCTAGATGTAACTGTAAGTTCTATGCTAACAATTTCTTCTATCACACTTTTAACTCTCTTTCAGCTTCTTGCTTCCCAGTCAACTTTGATCTTCAAAAATTTAAATGCAGTGTCAATCATTATCTACTGTCTTCATGATTCTTGTACTTTTATTGTTCACTTTCTTTAACAGTGTTTATTTTTCTCATATTCTCTAATACTCAGTAACCTCTTGTCTTAGTGGCTTTATTGCCTTGATTGGGGTGAAATGATTAAAATATATATATGTGTGTGTAAATATTCTCAGATGGAATGTATCTGTAGAAGAGACAAAATGAATAAAAAGAGATATAGTTTTGATTATCAAGTGGTCGAGGCTGCATATGGTCGCCATAGTTTGAAGCATGGTCATAGTGGATTAAATTTCATTTCTGCACTTATCTGAAGTGTAATGGTTAATGAATCTGTCTCACAGATCATTACTATTAAGTGAGTTTCATCCTCACTCAATGCTCCATATTTGTGGCCAGATGTCAAATGTTAACCTTGGCTCAGGATAATATTTAGCTAGTTTGGTTAATGATTACTGCTGCTAAGTAATGAAATTGATCATCAACATGCTCTCTCATACTTTTGATCTTGTACTAAACTAAGATACTCTTAGTAAAGATGTCACCTAAGCATAGGGATATTCTTTTTAGTCTGGTTGACCATTACAACTGAATATTAAGTCAATCTACCTTGCGCCCCCCATACTCGTAGTCTTGTGCCAAGCTAAAGTAGTCTCTTTGATCCCTTTATTCTTTCAAACATTTTTCTGACTAATTCAAGCTTACAGCCATTTCAAAAACCTGTTCTAATCTGATCACCAAAGTTAAGCAAAATTGAGCCTGTTCAGTACTTAGATGGGTGACCACTTGGAGAATAGCAGATGCTGTAAGCTTAGATGTGTGGGTGATGTAATGGATAACAGCTTAGAATGATAAATTAGAGAGCCGAGTTCTTATTCCGATTGAGTTTCTTACATTCACTTATAGTTGAAATACTCCACCATGCCTTCTAATTTCATATACTGTATGTTATAATAATTTGTCATATTTGTTGCATTTTCAAAATTTTCTATTATAAATATCAACATTTCTTACTTCCTTTAATACTAAGGTGTATTCTAAAGGCTGAGGTGGTTATTACTTTTGGGTTAAAAAAATGATTTTATTTGAATAACTAAGCAATTTTGATTGCAAAATCTATAAAACTAAAACAATCACTTATTTATAAAGATCACAATAGATGAGATAGAAAATGAATAGCGAAACACTTTTTGTAATTTGATTTTTAAGGTTGAACAAATAAGTTAGTTATCTTTGTTAAGCAAGAACCATTAAACTGGACAAGATGTAAGACACATGCTAGTAGATATAAATAATAAAACAGACATTTATTTGATGTTAAAGTTTTATATAATATTTGCAAACACAGACTTAAAATATTTAGCTTCAAAGTTTTGAGCACACATACATAAAAAACAAAAAAAATATTTGAATTTTTGTATATTAGATAATTAAACATATTAAATAGGAACGTGAATAAAAACTTGCTTAAAGAAATACCATTTGTGAATATTTTTCTTTCATCCATTAATGATTTTTGGTTGCCCTTTAATTTGAAACTCAAAAAATGCTTGTTAATTAAAAGATGATAGTTTTAGTAATAATAATATTTTTTTATGAATATGAAAAAAGAGCCAAAGAAGAGGTATTAATAAAAATTAATGTTCTAAAATTTAAGAGTCAGTTTTCTCCATGTTTTTTCACTTCTGATTTTTGTTGATCATCTTATTGAACTATATATTTTTCTTCTTAGGACAAAGTTTATTTCATTGCTGACATATCTTGGTTGAATAATGCTTTAATTAAAATTCTGTCCTTTCAATATTCATAAATCTGTTTCATGACTCAACTAGAACAAACAAAAGGAATGTAATAAATCCTGAAGTGCCCCCAAAATTAAGAGCTATTTAATAAGATGTAGCCTTTTTCTCAGCTATAGTGGAGCAGCTACAAAGCACTGGAAACATTGCATGAGTTTATCTGTTTAGACATACTCCAGGACTGCCCACCACAGAATTTTACTTGTATTTAATCTGCAGGGAATATAGTGAGGTTTACGACATTACCTAAACATGATTAATAGTATTTAAATCTGGCAAGCATGGATAAGACAATAGTGCACCTACAGGTCAGCTGTGTGTTCTTAAAACTATGGATACACGAGTGGTGTAACAAATAATGTCTTGTGATTATAAAGTGCTGCACTATTTTATATGAAAATTCTTATATATCTCTATCTATATAAGGCAGGATGTGTGTGTGTGTGTAACGAATGTACGGCTGCAATTTTTGACGGATTTGCACCCAAATTTACATGCGCATGCTCCAAGTTAGCAGGAAGGTCAAGGCCAACATTTCCCAACTCCCATTGATAGTGGAAATAATTGATTTTTTTTCATGCTTTTACAGCAGTTTTCATATAGTTTGCGGCCATTTTGTACTGGCCAGAGTGAGAGCCAATAGCTGGCTTCCATGAATAGGCAGGAAGATTTTATTGGCCAGCCTGAGAGCCAACAGCTGACTGACATGAATGTTAACTAGCATGCTAGCATGCAAAAAAAATCGATAGCTGCATTCGTCACAAGTGGGAAAAATTTAAATCTGCATGGCACTTTACTCCAGTTGGCTCATTCGCATGCTTAAACTCAATGTTGATTCTGATTCTACAGAACTGGGTTGGGTGTGAAAAAGTATTTGTTGTTAACATTCTTTTTTCATTCAGTTTTTCCAGCTATGAGTCCTTTTTTAAAGCTGATCATTTTGTGTTCATTTTGTTTAGTTCTTTTTTTGTAACAGATTTAATGTTTAGTATAGAGCTTAGAAAAAATTTGGAGTGTGAGATAGGCAAGAAGTAAGACATGTAGCAACATCAGCATGGCAAAGGGCACTCCTTTAAAGGCAAGGAAGGGCAAAAATATTTTAAGTCAAATGATAGTGATTGCTGTATGAGTCGTATGATTTTTAATCAAGCACAACAACACCGGGCCATGCTGCTAGTATATACTTATATATATATATATATATATATATATATATATATATATATAATGACTATTTTCAACCTTTATTACAAAAACAATTTTTCTAATTTGTAAACATGTATGTTTAAGAATCAGCAATCATCTCCCAGTCAGATACAAACTAAGGGTAATATTACAAATTTTAAAGAAGCCCAAAGCCATGCCTAAACTGCAATACTAAAAAACTCCAGTGACACTTTAAAACTTTAGAATATGGCAGGAATTCAAAATTGAAACCTTAAAGTAGCACTAGCAATGATTGAAAAAGTAATTCCAAGAAAAGGCAGACAAAGAAAAAAAAGAAGTCGATAGTAGATAAAATTTCCAATGTGATAAATGGGACAAGAAATGGTACAGTATATATATGAGATAAAACAAAATTATCAGCAATAAGTGCAAGAAAACTAAGAAAGAAAGGTCAATGAGGAATGTACAGAGATCTAAAATCTGCAGTATACATACAGCAAGCTGGCATAAAATGATAAAAGAAATAGGATATAAAATGTGCGCTTTAGCAGTCTATATAAAATCTAATGGCACCATTATAATGTAAAAGGTACTATAAAAATGAAATGAATACATCAGAAAGCACTTCCATCTCAACAGATTAGAGAAACCTACAATATCAAAAACATAGGATCTATACTAAAATCTGAGCATTGGCCAAAATGAAAAAGTACAAAGCAGCAAGACCAGATGAGTTTGTAATAGAGATGCTTATAGTCTTAGATAACTTTTGGATTAATAAGGTTGCCAAATATGTGACAACAGCTGAAGCATTACCACAATAATAATTTTATTAGTTCAAATTATCAGTATTTAACCAAGTATTAAGGCATTGCATTACACATGTATGTAATAGCTTGAAACAAGCACCAAAAAGATGACAGTAATTCAAAAGGAAGCAATTCAGTCCAGTGATCTCCCAAATAAGTCCTGTACACAAACTCAGACAGCGCTCTGAACCTCAACCTTCAATTCACCACAGCAGCAACATAATGGAATACTATATAATGTAAATCAATCTTCATGGTATTGTCAAAGAAACCAGGTATGGATGAATATAAACTCCACCAGAAAATTAATTTGATGAGACACATAATTAATTAGGATTTTAATAAATAGAGCTTGTAGTGTAACACACTGGAAATAGGACACAGCATGGTTTTGTTCAAAATACTTGAACAAGAAATGTATTTTTCATGGTCGAGAAATATAAATGCAGAGAAGATTTACACATGTTCCATAGATTATACAAGTATTTCATAGGGTATGACATGATGATCTTGAAATGTTAAGAAAGCATGATTTACATTGGAGAGGATAATCAATATTTAATCTTTAAACTCTACTGGGAACAAATAGCTTGCATACAGATAAAGAATGAGTTTAGTGAACAAGCAAATAAAAAGATGAATAGAACAAGGATGTGTTTACTCACTATATTAAAATAACAAAAGACAGACAATTATGGTGAGCCATCTCCTGAAATGACTTGGCATATAAAAGAAGTAGTATTAGTGCAAGTAGAACTAACTTTAAATGTTAAATGTATTTGAAGCTCAGATAAATAGAGACTAACTGCCTTTATTTATTTATTTGCAAATAACTGTCATAAATTGCATAAAGTAGATGTAACTTAATATTAAGGTTCAAGGGCCACTTTTGGCAGCTTTTAAAGTACATGACAAGAGAAATAATAAATGATTTCCATTTCATTCAGTTACTTCTTTAAAAACAATTGGGGAGGGTACAGAAAGATAATAGGAGGATCAGATTAGGATTTTACCTGAATCCAGATAGGAGTCCAGCAAATTTATTTTTCTACTTTTGATGATGGAATTTTTTTCTCTTCTCTGGAAAAACATTATGATTTAGTTTGCTTGTAATAAAATCAGAAAAAATTAAAAAAAGGTTTATTATGAGGAATGTGATTGCTTGTATATTGAGTGTCCAAAAGTAGTGCTTGCGACTTGACCATTGGCAACCAGTTATAAATAGAACTTCCCTGTGTATTAATTTGATACAGGACTCAACATTCATTTTTAGGTCTAGTCCTTCCACATAGCAGTTATTGTATCCCGACTGACGCATACTGCAACACATTAGCACAATGTGTGCATGCATGTATAGTGCAGGTGGAATGGAGTTGCGAGCTGGCAGACCAAATACAGTTTTTGGCTGCTTGTTCTTTATGCAGATTTGCACAAATCAAATACTAGTGTCACTTTGAGATACTTTGCCATGATATACAAGACTTCCATACCAAAATTTACTCCTTTCTTAAGATAAATGCTATTATTTGCTACTTTTATGAAGATTTTGTTTTAGTGAATCAGCCACTCCATTTTGCTGCTCTCTAAGACATATTTTCTCTTCATTCCTGATGTGATTCATCTCAGCTCAAACCCCCAATGATCAGTTTCCCAGTTATAATGATGCCATGTAACTGGGGATAGTATAAAAAAGGAATACATTTTCTTTTTGTCTGGGAGCATTATAGAAAAATAAATACTGCATTTTCTAAATTATTTTTTTTATTAAAATATACAAAATTCTTCTATTTTAAATGTCCTGTCAATTCTTCTGCTTAGAGACTATAAGTTACAAATTTGTAAGAATTTTATTAAAATTTTCTAACAAAGATGTTTATTAAAAATATGTAGTATAGATTTGTTATTCTATTTTTTGAATTTGATAATATGCAGTTAGCAACACATCTGTAATATTTGCAAATTTAATTAAAATTTCATATTTTATAAAGCAACTTAATTATTGGACCAGAAAAAAACAATATTTCCTGCATTTACT